GCGTAGACACGACGGGGGTCCCCCGCCCCCCCCCCCCTCGAAGGGTCCATAATTATACTTATTTTATAGTTGGGTTTGCCGTCCATAATTATACTATTTTATATGGGTTTGTGACTTGCAATTAATGATTATCGGAAATATATTTTATACTTCGCGCACAATTCTGTTACAACGCATGCGCGCCTGACCGCAGCGTATGCTCACATCGCTATAATTCGTCAAAGTGACAGGTTTCTTAACCTGAAAAGTCGTCAACTTTGACGCTTAATATCTCGTCTCCTGGGACAAAAAGTTTTTTTAAAAGAAAAAACGCATCGAATGAAACCAGTTGGGTCAAAATCGGAGGTGAAGCAGGTATTCTGCATAATTACCAATTATATATAGTACATATGTATTGAAGTGTATAATACGTAACATAAGAGGTTATTTTATGAATTTCTCGTAAATCTTATTGAAAGTAATTATATAATAAATTAAATCTATATTTTTTGTTTCTATTTAACCCTTTCAGAGACACTCTTTAGATATCCTAATATTAAGATATTTAAAAAGCCACACAAAACGTGAAAGTTAGTTACATAAAAAAATGAAAAGGGAAGAGATAAACCACATGTGAGTCACCATCCTTGACAGAGTAAAGTTAAAATAAATTAATGGGAGAAATATATCTCTTACAAATTTATGTGATTTCAAAAATTATAGATTAGTACAAGGCAGTGTAAATCGATGCAGAATGGGAGAGTTAGCAATAAAATAAAACAGGTTTTGTATGTTTCATATTTCAGGTGCCAGTATCTTGGGAACAATTTTTTTAATTGTGAATGCCACACTAGGAGCTGGACTATTAAATTTCCTCAGGCCTTTGACAAAGCAGGTGGAGTAGGAACTTCCATTGTGGCACAGCTTAGTTTTCTTATATTTATCACAGCTGCTTTAGTGATACTGGCCAGTTGCAGCGACAGTACAGGCACCAATATGCCATGCAAGATGCATTCGCTAGCCTGTGCGGATCTAAATCACTTATTTTCTGTGGAATTTGCGTAGCGGTTTACAGCTTTGGCTGTTGCCTAACGTTCTTAATTATTGTTGGTGATCAATTTGACAGAGTGCTCGCCACATTTTATGGGCTCGACTACTGTCATACTTGGTAATTATCACGGTAACAAAATAAAAAACAATTACAATTTGCAAAATTATTTTAATCTACAAACTGTTAAATTTTTCAGGTATTTATCAAGACCATGTGTGACAGCTTTAACTTGCAGTATATTTATACTGCCACTGTGCTTTTTTAAAAGACTGGACGTTTTAAGTTATGCAAGTTCTGTTGGCTGTGTAACTATTGTATATGTTGTATGGTTGATAACTTACAAAAGCTTTACCGAGCATGACAATACTGTACCACCTATGAAAATTTGGCCAGATAGTGGGTACGAGATTCTGCAGATAGTACCTATTATTTGCTTTGCTTACCAGGTATTTAAATTTAAATTTATTTTATATTTATGTATATATATATATGTTATGATTTATATTACTCTCTTAAATAACATATCAATAACTTATAATAATTTTTATGTATAATAAAAATAATTTTTTAATATTTTATTACTTATTATCTAATATACTATCTAATATTTAAGTTATAATGTCGACATGTAAAAATGCATATGTACGTATTTACAGAGTCACATGACTGCGATACCAACTTACGCCTGCATGAAGGACCGTCGTCTGGGCAAGTTCATTCTGTGCTGTGATTAGCATGCTGATCTGCTTCGTCGCCTACACTACGGTCGGTTATTTCGGCTATGCCATGTTTGGCAGTAACAAAGTACCAAGCGATATTCTGCAAGGCTACACTGATAAGAGCATTATGCTGACCGTTGCGATAATCGCGGTCGCCGTAAAAAATTTCACCACTTATCCCATTGTATTGTACTGTGGTCGGGACGCGCTTCTCGGTATATTCAACGTAGATCTCAATCGAATCGGCGTTCGAGTGATCGTTACATTGGTCTGGTTTATCTCATCGTTGGTCATCGCTATTCTGGTGCCGGACATCTCGCCAGTGATCAATTTACTTGGAGCATTATCTGCAATGTTTATCTTTGTGTTGCCAGGGATTTGTCTTCTACAGAGCATACTCTTGAGAGATCTAGATCTATATTTGAACAAGGATCGCCTGTTGATCGCTTTCGCAATTTTTCTGATCGCGCTCGGCGCTTTTATGTGTGTCGTTTTCATTGAGGCTTTTGAGGATCTACGCAAAATGCCGGTTAAACCACAGCTGATTATCGGCTTCAGACAGCTCAGAGACAGCTTATGTGTTTGATGACAAATACAATTGAACTGGAAGTTAGACATCACACAATCTGTGAAGCTTAGAGAATTGTTATTGTTAATAACAGTCAATTGTATATATTCTCTATATATCTCACATGCGGAATTGCAACGAAATTGGGCAAGCTAATTTATAACTCAGAGACAACCGAGAGATAATTTTACTTTTTCTGATGTAACATTAAGCAAGCTAAGATGTCAAAAAAAGACTGATAAATATATATATATGTACAATACATATATATATGTACATATTTTATTAATAAATTTTTACCAAACAACTCATGCGCGAAGAAGTTGCTGAATTTTTTTACATATTTTTCATATCTTTTATTGTTATTAAGATATGTGCTCAATAATAAAGTATATATTATATATATATTAATTTGATTTATTTTATATTTTTAAAACCATATATGAAGATTAGATTTTATTTTAATAAAAAAATTTGAATAAAGAGAGAGGAAGGGAAGGGAAGCGAGAGGGAAAAATCTTTATATTGATTTTATATATAGGATAAGTTATGATTACTTGACGGTTTTAGAAATAAAATTATAAAGATTAATTAACATAGAATTTTATTTTTGTCGTCAAACAAAAGTTACAGAATGCCATAAATAAATTTTATTATTCTGTACATCATTATTTAATTATGAACATAAATTATTTTGACATACACATACTAATAAACATAAATTATTTTAACATACACATACTATTTAATAAGATCATATACGTACATATCGTATACATACATGCACACCTATGTTGTCTTATCACGCCAGTATTTTCAAGAGACACCTAAAAATATTTTTCTGCCGAATTTTAGACAGAAGGATTGCTGGAGAGAGAAAGATTACACAAAAGACAAAGAATGTTCTTGTCGCACACAAACGCGGCTGTTGAAAAATAAAATAGACAATGTTCACTCGATAAACGGAGTAAATTACGTAGAATATTATATTAGAGACCCTATAATTGTGCAACATTACACTGGCTTTTATATTAAATCAATAACGGCGAGTCACGTAATCGAAAAAAATACTGACGTGATCATAATTATATTGTGGTTATGCAGTCCAAATCCAAAATGTGATTCTCTCTGGAGAAGACCTTATGTGCGGTAAAAAACTTTTCTCTCTCTCTCTCTTCCTCTCACGCATGCATACACTTCTCTTTTTCTCTCGTTCTTTCATTATTTCTCTTTTACTCTTTTTTTCATTCTTTTTTTCTCTTATTCTTATCTTCGTTCGATGACTAGAAACATCTCTTCATATGGATTATTTGGTAAAAAAATAATGCGGAAATGGATAATATTTGCATTGCGGTACAATTATATTATAGCAATGCAACGCAACGCACCGCACCGCGTAATACCGACTGCACGCTATCTCGCAGCAACTTTTTTCACGAATACATTAATTAATACAATAGAAGTCTTCGTGATTGGGCGGAGTAATTAGGGTGGTCACATTTTACATTGTTTTACATCTATAAATTTACACGCTACCGTTTCAAAATAGCAAGTTCTCATAAATCTGAGAAAATAAGACTGTCGCCGTGCCAAGTACATACCGTCAAGTACATACATTCATGTACTTGACACGGCGACAACTTTCACACGGTAGACATATGTACACCCATGTTGCATTGTTACGTCAGAATTTTCAAGAGACACCTAAAAATATTTTTCTGCCGAATTTTAGATAGAAGAATTGCTGGAGAGAAAAAGATTACACAAAAGACAAAGAATGTTCTTGTCGCACACGAAGGCGGCTATTAAAAAATAAGATAGACAATGTTTACTCGATAAACGGAGAATAAGTTACGCAGAATATTAAATTAAAGATCCTATAATTGTGCAACATGACACTGGCTTTTATATTAAATCAATAGCGGCGAGTCATGTGATTGAAAAAAAAAAGAATAAAAAGTGCTGACATGAGTGAACATAATTATACTGTGGTGCTCCAAACCCGAAATGTGATTCTCTCTGGAGATCTTATGTGCGGAAAATAACTCTTTTCTCTCTCTTACACACGTATACACCCCTTTTTCTCTCGTACTCTGTTATTTCCCTTTCACTCTTTGTTCATTACTTTTTTCTTTTATTATCTTGATCGATGACTAGAAACATTTTTTCATATCGATTATTTGGTAAAAAAATAATGCGGAAATGGATAATATCTGTAGAAAAAATAAACTCATCTTCGTAAAGATAGCGCCGTAATCTCGCGTGTATAATTACTACTCTGCACGCTATCCCGCAGCAGCTTTTTTCACGGATACATTAATTAATACAATAGAAGTCCTCGCAATTGGGCAGAGTAATTAGTCGATAGATGGTCACGATAGGTATAAAACGTGATGTAAAACGCAACCATCATCGCCTAATTACTTCATCCAATTGCGTTTTACATCTGAATCTACATGCTACCGTTTTACATGTAAATCTACACGCTGTTTTTTGAAATGGCGAACTTTCATAATCTGAAAGAACAATTAATTGTAACTTGACATATTATTTTGTGTTCTACATATAATTTTATCCAAGCGAAAAAAGGAACATTTATTGTCAAGTTCAGAAGCGGATAATATTTGCGGAAGTATACGATTTCGACGAAAATCAGCAAAGGGAGGTCGATCATTATTGTAAACACAGAGCAATCTAACTACATTGCCATAAGTTAGGCGATTATGCTCCGTCCTGCTTGCGCGCGAGCTCGGGACTCATGCGCGGATATGGTAATACTGGTTTACGAAGGATCGTTGGCTTGACCTTGATCTGTGGTTTGAATGACATCATTTGACTGCCGCCAGTCAGATGCATGTCTGTAAATTTGGCGACAATCTTAGGAGTAGAAGCCGGTAGAACGATAAAATCGTCCGATCGGCCAGCTCGAATCAAATCACTACCTCTGCTGCCACCGCTGTCGACAGTCATCTGATTCCCGTTTTCTGTGTCAATGACGGCGCTTGATTCTTCGTGCTCCGTCGTCTCAATTTGTTTCAGCTTGCTGCTGCCGACCGCGTTCTCACCAGTGCACAAATTCACGATCTTCGTGTTCTTCTTCAGGGTGCACTGGTTCTGCTTGGCAAAGCGTTCGGCAGCAGTGCTCATGTCCGGTGATTCGGGACCACCGCTCGGCGAGGTAGCTTCCGTGCGCGATGGTAGCGTCTGTTGCTGTGGCACCAGCAACGACGATGGCATCGTTTCCTCGTCGGCAGGAAGTCCACATCGTCCAGCAGTTTGAGCATAACTCAGACTGCTGGATGATGTGGACTTCCTGCCGACTGAATCTTGCGTCAATAATGGCAGATCCATCACCAAGTCGGGTGTATGCTTCTGCCGCATCTCGCGAAATTCCTGGGACACGCGGGAATAGGAAGATGGTTTTGCAGTAGGCGGCATCAGCTGTGTCTGCGTCGTAGACAACGAATTTTTCTGTGAATCGCGAACTCTGGCGCGACGTTGCCAGAGCTCGCGATTCACAGAAAAGTTTGTTGTCGCTTGCAGCTCCTGCTGCGACTCGTTGTTCGGTGTTATGGTCGTTGATGTTTCGTGGTTATTACGTTTCTCGTGGTAACCTCGTGGCGAACTTAGATCAACAGTCACAACAGATTGCTGATCTAAGCTCGCGTTACCACCATCATCCTCAATGTATTCGACTCTGTGCTCCGGTTTGACTTGGAGAACGCCATCGACTTTCAGAGAACGAGAAGTACTTGAAATATTATTGGAACAATAAAGAGTCGACACCCTGGCCAGTCTCAACGGAATCTCAGTATTCGTCTGCGAACAATCACAAGAATAATCGTAGCGAGGTTTGAATCGCGCGCGATCGCAAGAGGCAATAATTAACGTTGCCTGAGCGAAATCGGTATACGTGTCTCATTTAGTTTAGCAGGGGATGCGCAGGATCTACGACGTCATCTTGTTCTATCGGGGTTTGTGCGTGCTGCAATGAGATACGAATTATTGTATCGTTATTTACTTTAAATCACATTTCTTTTATTTATACAAGGAGTCTCGGCACCGGTAGCTGTAGCGTCGCGGTTGAAAGTAAAAAAATAATTCTTTTAAGCAGCGTTTTCTATTAAAACGCTGATAATTTTAGAATTGCAAGTTGTTGAAAAAGATTTTTAAGTTTTTAGAATCAACAGAACAAAATTCTTTATTTTTCTCAAGTTTAAGTTAATCTTAAATTTTTATCTTAGCTAAGTTTTATCTACATTTTTATTATTTCAATATATTAAATGTCAATATGTAATATATAGAATATTAAGCTGTTAGATTTATTCCGCAAAGAGAAGATGATAAATTTTTTAAAAGAATATATTTCAAAGGTTACCCGGTAATGGTGGGACCCCGTATATAATTTTACATATAACAAATAATGGAGATGAAAGTGATCACAATGAATGAATTCGTGAAACATCCACATCTGTGTGATACACTGACACTTGTATAATTCATTAACAACACAAGACAATAATATGTGAAAAAGTGCTGATCGATTCGGCAAGATTGATAAAGATTGATTTTGAAGATCTCCATTCAAATGATTCATGATTATGTTTCATGATTATTGCAAAAAATTAACATAATTCGTGACTCATTCCAACACAACTGATGAAGAATAAAATTGTGAAAATTGCACAATATTGAGACACTTATAACTATTCGCATGCAAAATCAGTGCATAAATAAAATAGATACACATGAGACACCCAGTAAACACTAACAATAACGTAATAACGTCAATGTTATAAATTTCCCACTCAACAACGTAGCTGCAATATAACATGCCTTGTACGTAACAATTATATTGTTGAGTGGGAAATTATAACATTAATGTCCCACGGAGAAATGCAGGTCAAAGAAACGTCTATTAAATGTCTATTACTTTGTGTTTACTCGGCAGTACCATTTAAGAAACGGGATTAAAAACTGCTCGTAAAACTGAGTAATAGGTAGATAGGTACAATGCATAGACGGCGGTCGTATCAGCATAATGATAACAGATTAGTTTATCTATTATACTATTTTATATTGTCCGGAAGTCAATAGTGGCTAAAAAAAGTTATTGCAGTGGGTGAGATTGTTTTCTTTACTAAATGTGCGTTTAAAGAATCTGAAACACTAAAATCTGCTCGCGCGGTGTGTCGGTATGTACAACACAATAAAAAGCAAAAACAAAATACGAAAAGAAAAAGATTGGGCATCGAATGAATGATAAATTATTAACGTTCCGTGCCCAGCCCGTTTTTGCGTGTACCACCGATGGTTCACACTGGCGCATTTATTATTTCAGCTCAAAACGTATATATTATAATAACTTTAAGATTGACGTATTATCAAAATAGTGTAGAATAAAAGAAATAAGTT